GGGGCTCAGAGAGGTGAAGTAACTTGGCCAAGGTCACACAGCCGGGAAGTGGCCAATTAGAACCCAGACAAACTGACTTGCATAGCAGCCCAGCCTCACCCCCTTGTGCTGCTGGAGAATGAGGCAGGGACGAGGAGGCCCCTGCCCACCCTGGCCTTCCCTCCCCACACGTTTAGACATTGAAGACCCCAGGGCCACCAACAGAGCCTCCTTTCAGGCTGGGGCAGGGCTAAGCTGACTGCTTCCTCCCCCTCCAACTTGGCAGAAAAGCCTTTTTGTTGTGGCTCACATAGAGGCCATTCTCCTCCGGCTCACGGGAAGGAATGGCCAGCTTCCTGTCCATCCACAGCCGCCCAGGCTGCAGTGGAATCCTCCGTGTAGGTCCGAGAGGAACAAGGCTTCCTGCCCCTCCACGACCTCTAGTTCTGCCTCGGGGTCCTGAGGCTGCCGGGCTTTGCCCCTCAATCTGTCAAACCACACAAGGGGGTTGGGCACAGCCTCCCCTCAGCTATCCTTTCAAATGCTGGAGATTTCAGGCCCAAGGCACTTTCAGGGCACAGCAGTACTGCCCTCAGCCCATTGCTCAAGTGGCCTCATGACCCACAAAGCCCTGGCAGAGCCCCTGCCAGGGTGCTCGCCTTGTCCCAAATGTTCCCTGTACTTGCTGGCCTCTATGACTTTGCTTATGCTGTTCCCTCCTGTTGGAAAACTCTTCCCTTCATATTTTATCCTGTTCAAATTGCATGGATCCTTTCAGGTGAAGATTAAGGCTTGCTTTTTCCAGGTTCCCACCCTCCCTCCTCAAGGTGTTGAGTTTCCTTCCACCTCTGGCTCACCCAGCACTTGTGTCCTGACCATTCCTTGACTCTGAATCCAGCCGGCCCAGCCTTACAGGCACCCAGATGCTGATTGCGGCTCCATCATTAAAGGCTGTGTGTCCTTGGGCAAGTGAGTTCACCTCTCTGAGCCTAGATTTCCATCTGTAGAACGCTGCTAATAGCCATGCCTATTTCATACAGTTCTGAGGCTTGATTGGGCCAATTCGTGTAAACACTTAGAATAGCCCACAGCAGGCTCTCAATAGTTTGTTACTAAAATCTCTATTTCAGGTACCTGGTGGGCTCTAAGGAAGAATCTCTCGCTTTCTCTCCAGGAGAGTTTGTGGGATGGGGTCAAAGGTTGACAAGCCCACGGACAGGTGCCAGAAAGAGAGATATTCCTGTCCCACTAGCTCCCCTCCCCAGCTGCTGAGGCCTCACCCTGCCAACCCTGGGGGCCCAGCCCCTCCTCACCCGCAGCATCAGCCCTTCTTTCCAGACCCTGAGCACGAGGCCCCGGCTCAGGTTTTCTCCCACGTGCCCCTGACACCTCCCACCCTACATTTTTCACCCACCTCACTCTTTGCCAGAAATAGCCTCCAAACCTCCCTTCTCTTGCAGCCAATCTAACAGGCCCCTCCTGGAAAAACTATATCATTCCCCTGCCAGCATGGATCACAGCAATAAACTGAATTCCATTAAGAAAATATTCTGAGTCAGTGGAAAGGGAGGAGCAGCTGTACCCCAATAATTTCATCAAAAAATTACATAGCACCATCCTAAAAATTCGTCAGCTTCAGCCAGATTAAATTTCATTTACAGATGGAGACACTGAGGCCTGGACACGGGGCTGATTCGGCCACAGTCACTCACTGAGTCTCTGAACTGATCCCCAGGCAGGACTCCTCCACCCCCACCCTCTCTGTCACCATGCACCCCATGTCACCTCCCCACCCCTCATGGGAACTCCCTCTTCTGATCTTCGGAAGAACTGCGGGGTGTTGTGGTTAATCTAGCTTTCCTGATAAAGGATATTTTTGTGCTTCATACACACATGAAGCACAGCCTTCAACACAGCTAGGGGAGAGGAGATCTGCCCTCTGCAAATAGTCCCCCATCTTGTCCCATGAGAACAAGCCCCCTCTTCCTCACAGTCCATGGATTCTGGTAGAGCTGGCCCATTCCCCTGGTGGCCAGATGATCTTGTGACCCAAGACCCAGCCAATCAGAACCCCGGCACATAATCCAGGAGTGAGCAGAAAACCCAAGTCTGGCCAATCAAGGACTTCCTGTGACTTCTTCCCTGCAAAGGATTCCCTGCAAGAGAGAAGCCCTATGTTTGCTGGGATTGCTGAGCTACTGGAGCATGGCTCTGAAGCTGCTGAGGGGTTATCTCGCCACCACACATACAGAACCTGCCTCAGAGGAGAGCCAGCGGAGCGAAACAGAGCCTTAAAGAGTCTGGAAGGCACTATTTGAGTACCTGGATCCAGCTGTGCCTAAGCTCTTTCAGTTACTTGTGTCAATAAACTCCTTTTATTTCTTAAGCCAATGCGAGTTATTAATGGGTTTTGGGTTTTTTGTTTTTAATTTTTGTCCTGACTGATGCCCAGGGTGCTCTGAGTTCCAAACTTGTGCTTAGCTTAACCCATTCTTCTTGCCAGTCTAGGACTCTTCTCAGGAAAGTGCCAAACCCCAGGACCACAAGGCACTCACCTCTTCAACACTTGAATGCTTACTGAGAATGTTTCCTGGAGTCTCTGGCACAATGGCCAGCCTCAGTAATGCTGCCTAAGACAGCATAGGACACCTGAGTCTTCACAAGAGGCCCGGGGGAACCAAGTAGCCAGATGGTGGCAGGCGAGGCGGGTGGGAAGACTGACTTAATTGTTAAATGGGCTTTTTCAGATGTATAAGGTAACAGATAGTCAGCCACTGGGGACAATGAGGAAACCACAGAAAAGCCAAAGATGACCATGAAAAATGCCAGCAATTTCTACTCTCCTGCCAAACACCCCGAACAATTTACTGTAAATCTACAGGTCTTCCCTTATGAGTATATATTAATATATTTTATTTTTTAAAAGTAAGCTCATACGAGGCATATTGTTTTTTACCTGCCTTTTTCACTCAGTATAGCATGAGATTTGGGTAAGTAGGAGACTTTCTCTCTATTGCTTGAATTTTTCTGAACATGCATTATGTGTCCATCATAATAAAACAAGCAAGTAAACAGTACATCTTTAACCCCTTTTCGTGTCCACAGATTGTTTTCTACAACATGCTTTTTGTGGATGCATTCTATGGATCCCCGAGGAATTTTCTCAACCCATGTCAGGACAGTTGCAGAGAATATTTTGGAAACATCTATAATTACAGCAAATAGTTCCTGAGGGCTCACACTGCACTGGACTTTATATGCTTCACTGAAATCAATCCTGATTAGAACCCCAGGGGGTAGTTCTGTTTGCACTTCACACCAGAGATGCTCAAGGCTCAGAGAGGTGAAGTAACTTGCTCAAGGTCACACAGTTCAACAGTGGCAGACCCTGAACTCAAGCCACCCCTGTTTCTGACCCCAAAACTCCCGATCTCAATAATTCATTTATTCAATGAACATTTACTGCTGTCAGGGGGCAGTCCAAGGATCCAGCAGGGAATATCACAGAGACCCTCCCTCATGGGGCTCACATTCAAAGGAGACAAGCATCTCAGGCCAAGGGAATAGCCCATGCAAAGATCCTGAGGCTGGACCAAGCCTGGGATGTTTGAGGAACCGAAAGGAGAAGAGCAGGGTGAGAAAGGAGGTGAAAGGGTGAAAGAAAGGGAGTAGGATCAGGCTACAGACTTGGATTTATTCTAAGGCTGACAAGAAATTTTTGAAATATTTTAAGGTATTGAGGGGAGGGTGGCATGATCTATGATATTTAGAGTACTTCTCTGGCTTCTGTATGCTTTGCTAAACTACCTTTGCAAACACCCATGATTCTTGCCTTTAGAGAAAGTTCTAAATGTGGAATCAAAGTGGTACGACCAGCCCACAAGGTGGGCTTTTATTACATACTGACAAATTACCCTCCAGAAGGAAAGAAGCACCTGTTTCCACCCATCCCGTGGCAGCTGAGTGCCCATCCCCCACCCCTCACACACCAGGTATGAGATCATCTTTATCAGTATTGCTGGCGGAAGCAATATTGTTTTGTTGGTTTTACCTGCAGTCCTTTGATTGCTATCAAGCTCAAACATTTTTCATGTCAGTTGTTAACCCTTTAGGGTTTTTTTTAAGGGGAGGGGAGGATGGCCTGCTTATGCCCACTGCCCAGTTTTCTTTTGGGGTATTTCTTATTGATTTGTGGGAACTTTTTGTAGTGTGAGGAAATTGGCCCTTTGTCAATCAATGAGTTTTAGAGCTAGAAGGTTCTTAGCCCAAGCTCCTCGTGTACAAATGGGTAAACTGAGGCCTGGACAAGGCTGGATACTGATTCTAGTCAGTGCTCTCAGCACACTGGTTCTGGGAGGATGCCTCTGCCAGCTTTGTTCATTGCCTAGAGAGACCTCCCCTCCTGCTGGCCCCTCCTGGTGTCTATCGGGCTCTTTCCCTGTCCCCACCCCAACTCCCCACCAAAGCCTCTTACAGGGTTCCTAGCAGAGAGGAAGACATTCTGCAGACAACTGGCCCCATGTGCAGATGATGTCACCAATGGGAGAATGGGTCCCAGAGACCAGAGCTTAGTTTCCTGGGTAGGGTGGAGGTGAGGGAGTGGTGCCCTTGTCCTCTCCTTGTCCCCAGATAATAGGAGGAGCCAAAGAATTTGATTGGGAGACTTGCTGTATACACACCCGGCACCAGCAATCTGCTCTGGGCAATGCAGGACTTTAGGAGCATAAAATACGAAAGGGGCCTCAGAGAAGGGACTGTGGGGTGAATCAGAAAAAGTCCTAGGTCAGGGCTCAGAAATCCCAGGTCGGAGATCAGCTAGATCCAGGCAACTTATTTGAGTCCTCAGCCTTTGCCATAAAATGGGGATTTTATGTTTTCAGAGCTGGTGCTAAGAATCAGGGAAATTATAGACTTAAATATGTGCAGACCTGAGGCTGGGTTTAATGTAGTGGCATCAGTGCTTTTGCCTGCCCAGTACTGATCTTCTTCTCTCTTGACTAAACACCTTGACTTTCCTCTAGGGAGCCACCCCTCTCCCACACTGAGTTCATAAGCTGCAGAAAGGCTGCCCCATCCCCCAGCTCCAAGGACAGGCGAGACCCAGGTGGAGGCAGTCTCCTATTCCTTCCTCCATCTCTACCAGTTATGGGCAATGTCCAAGTCATCTTCAGCCTTTGTTCACACATGGAACTACCTGCATGAAAATAAGCAGCAGCACACAGGGAACAGAAACACAAGACAGAAAGATGGCATTGTTTGAGCCCCTGGATACAGCCAGACCTGATGGTGGTCCCCCTTACTCTTGTGAAAGCTAATAAATACTCTCTTTGGTCAATCCAGTTTGAGTTGGAATTTCCATGATTTGTAACTCAAAAAATACAATCTAACACTATTGTCACTTAATTCAGTCTTTCATTGCCAAAGTCTGGGCCTCAATGAGAATAGACTTTTCCCAGGTCACATATGACTTGGCTAGAGAGTGAGAGAGAGCTCTGGAAGCCTGGACACACCATCTGCAGCCACATCACCCTGTTCACCAGGGTCAGGAGCCCCAGTCACTCTCCCTCACCTCCCTGTGAATTTACAAGTCAAGAAAAGACTTTATAACATGTGATCTTGTTCTTTTTCATAAACAAATCCAGCAGAGTTTGTGTGGTGGTGTAGGGCAGCAGTGGTGCCCCACCGGGCTCATCTTGTGCCTCTACTTGCCCTGTAGAGCCCAGTGGTCCTGACCGCACCTCTGTAAGTTAGTAGAACTACATTTTGTTTGGTCTATGAATTCTGAGTGAATTCCGAATCCTGCCAGGGCTTGAATTGATACAGCTGGAGAGGAAGTGAAATTCCCAGATCCCTGGAAATGTGTGTTGTCTATTTTAATACTTGCATCCATATTGCCCTTCCAGGTCGCATGAGAGCTTGCCTTACCAGGCCACTGAACAGCCTTGCAGAGAGATGGGGACACGGTGCTCCCTCCACGGGTCTGGACACCTGCCCCTGAGGTGCAACCTCCAGTTCTGGAGTGAGTGTCTTGGCTGATGAACAATCACACACTGGGGCACCCAGGGCCACCTCTGGCTGGACACATGCCCAGGAGAACATGAGAGGCCCAGGTCCCCCTAGTCACTACTGGCCACTGCCAATTTAGACCAGCCTGGGGCACCTTCCCCCATTCTGCTCAGAGGCAGGACGGAAACCTGACAAGCGTGTTTTCACCAACCTGAGAGTTTCGGCCCCTCTTTGGGGACTGTTTGTGTTTCGGGTCACACTGTTAGCAGCTCCCGCCCCCTTCTTTCCTTTGCCAAAGTGACATTCCCTGGGCTGCCAGGCCTCCAGGAAGCTGGTAGTTCCTGCCCTGAGCTGCCCGGTAGGAATCTCCTTTTCCTATTCCAGGCACTTCCATGTCCTCTGTTACATTTCATTCTCTCATCCTAGTCCAGCAAATGGGAGGTAAAGCCTCCACCTTACATACATAGAACTGACCAGCAAGGGAGGGCAGCCTGCCCAAGATCACACAGCAAGTTAGGGGCTGAGATAAGGTTAAAACTGATCCCCAGTCCAGTATCCACTCCCCACCCCTCACCCCACCCCCCAAATCCAAACTCAACCAGACAGGGATCAGGTCTAGTAATAGTCCTCCCTCTCCTGTTCATTCCTTCATTCAACAAATACTGAAACTTCCCCAGGCAAGGACTGCAAAGTGTTGGCCCTGGACCAAATCCCGCCTACCCCCTGTTTTTGTAAATAAAGTTTTGTTGGAACACAGCCATTCCCATCCATCTGTGTATGTCTATGGCTGCTTTCAGCTACAGGCAGACTTCAGGTGCAACAGAGCCAGATCATCTGGGCCCCAAGCTTAATATATTTGCTATGTAGCCCTTTACAGAAAGTGTCCCCAGGGCAACATTATGACTTTCTAGGCACTTCTGCACCTTCATAAACCCCTTCTTTGTAAATATTGTGTGCATGTGTGTGTGTGTGTGTGTGTGTGTGTGTGTATACAAAATAAAATCCCCCTGGAACCAAATTTCCTTATTGAGTTTATGATTAATCTTTCTCTTTCTCTCTCTCTTTCTTTTCGGTGGGGGGAGGTAATTAGGTTTACTTATTTATTTTTAATTAAAAAAATTTTTTAATGGAGGTACTGGGGATCAAACCCAGGACCTTATGCCTATTAAGCACACACTCTTACCACTGAGCTATACCCTCCCTCTATGGTTAATCTCTTTATCCACAATGTTATTCCTGTCTGTCTCCTCTGATCTCAATCTCTTTCTTGTCCCCTCTGATCTCAATCCTGCGCTAACTGAACCCTAATCACCAGAGTCAGATGACTAAGATTGCTGCTGTCAATAACATCATTAATGTACTAAAATTGATATTATTAGATAACGTACAAACTCAGGTTGTTTCTCCAAAACAAGATGAGCTCACAGACCCCTAAGCCATGGACCACCTCGCCAGAGAATTGTAAACCAGAGACATCCTGACTCCCTAAACGACGATTAAGAAATGTCACCAGACAGATGATTAGTCCCAGTTCTTTTGTTCTTTGCCTTTAAAACACTCCTAATTCAAAGACCAAGGCGGAGTGGCTCTGAGACTTGTCGCCCACTCCCTGGGTTGGTGCCCTGCAAATGAACCCTTACTTTGCTACAAATACACACTGCCAGTTTGGCTTTTTGCACTGCGAGCACACGAGCCCTTGCTCAGTTACATATACATACATATATGTATTTATTTATTTTATGATTGTGCTGGTACAAGACAAATACAATCCAGGCTGGATTGTATCCTTTTCCTACTGTTTTAAATCAATTCCAACATTTCCGTGAGCCTCTAGAACTTGTGGACTCTAGGCACTGCACCACACATGCCTCACAGAGATGTCAGCCCTGAGTTGGCCACAGGTGGGTCCCACATTGCTGAGAGCAGAACCCCAAAAAGGAGACATCCCAATATTTAGCCCTCACTTTGGTTCTTACCCCAACAGTAGAGGCTGCAGGGGGAAGTTTTGACCGCTTTGAAAGGAACCATTCAGGGTTCAAAGTGACAGCATACATTTCTTAGAATGAAAATTTTCATTCCCTCTCAAATTCCTATATTTTGTATTTCTCAATTTTTAATTAGTAGTTCTGGGAATAAATAATAGATGCACATAGGTTTAAAAATATTTAGAATGCCTCAAATGATTTGTAAGAGTCTAAAGCTCCCTTCTGCTTCTGCACCCCAACCCCCTTCCTACCACTGTTGAGACTCCTTGCAAGCAGACTGTGCAAATTCAAGAAGAGATGTGTGCACATGCTGTTCCACTCCTGGCTTTTTTCTCACTTAAGTCTGTATTCTTATGCATACATTTATCTTGTCATTGTTAAGTAGCTCTTTAGTATTCCACTGAATGAATATACCAGTATTAGGACATGCCAGTTTTTCCATTCTTTTTCTATTATGGCATTGGAATGGAGAATATTTCTGTACGGACTGTCTTTGCTTGAATATTAGGCAATTTTTTTCCCTCCAAAAAAATCTCTCAGAAAAGAGGGAATCCCTTTACTGTATACAGAAGTTTTGATAAAGGCTCTTTCATTACCTGATGCTGATTCCTTTATTTTAAATAAGGAGGTGCTATTTGTGGAAGACACAATAGCCTGAAATGACCTCATGAATTCTAATTTGGGATGTTTATGGCGGACACCCAACAGAATTGGTTGGGGGTGAAAAAGAAGGCAAAGGCATTTAACACAAATGCAGTAATTTTTCCTGGGGATATGACTTCACAATTGCAAGTGTTAAAATAACACTATAAACAAACCTTTTAAAGTATTACTTTAAATGCTTTAAAATTAAGAACATCCCTTCACGAGTCACTGTTGAGAAAACGAAGAGGAAGCCACAGAATGGGAGGAGATACTTGCAATCTGCATGTCCAACAAAAGACTTGTACCCAAAATATATAAAGAACTCCCACAAAACAATAAGGAAAAAAAGCAGATGATCCAAAAGAAAAATGGATAAAAGACTTGGTCAGCACTTTATTAAAAAGAATATCCCAATGACCAATAAATATATGAAAACATGCTTAACTTCATTAGCCATCAGGGAAATGCAAATTAAAACAACAATGCAAAACCACTATCTACCCATTGGAAAAGCTCGAATAAACACGGAAGACAATATCAAGTGTTGACAAGGATGCGGAGCAGCCAGAACTCTCGTTTGTTTTGTTTTTTAGATTCCACATATAGGTGAAATCATACAGTATTTGTCTTTCTCTGCCTGACTTTTTTCACTTAGCATAATATCCTCAGGGTCCGATCACGTTTTTGCAAATGGCAAGATTTTATTTCTTTTTAACAGCTGAGTAATAGTCCACTGTGTGTGCATGTATACCTATATACCACATCTTCTTTATCTATTCATCTATTGATGGGCATTGAGGTAGTTTCAACATCTTGGCTATTGTAAATAATGCTTTAGTGAATATAAGGGTGCATATATCTTTTCTAATTACTGTTTTCATTTTCTTCAGATAAATACCCAGGAGTGGAACTGCTGGATCATATAGTTGTTCTATTTTTAATTTTGAGGGGATTCTTCATACTGTTTTCCATAGTGGCTATACCAATTTACATTCCTACCAACAGTGCATAAGGGTTCACTTTTCTCCACATGCTTGCTAACATTTACTATTTGTTGTCTTTTTGATAATAGCCATTGTGACAGGTGTGAGGTGATAGCTCATTGTGGTTTTGATTTGCATTTCTCTGATGATTGGTGATGTTGAGCATCTTTTCATGTGACAGTGACAAAGAGGTGACAGAGATGCATCAGTAGAAGTGTAATGCAAAAAGTGGAACATAATTATTTACTGGAATATGTTAGAGGGGATAAAACTATATTTCTAAAGTGACATATGGTTTTAGCTAATATGTGATTTTAAAAAGACATGTGTAGCTAAATTGATATACTAAATGTTTTAAGTATTTGATTATTTAACCTATATACCTAAAAGTTCTAAATATAAGCTGGCCCATGAATATGTTGTTGGGTATTATTATTATTATTATTATTATTATTATTTTAAATTGTGGTTAAATATACATAACATAAAATTTACCATCTTAACTATTTTCAAGTTTACAGTTCTGTGGTATTAAGTATATTTACCCTGTTGTGCAACCATCACCACCATTTATCTCTAACTATTTCATCTTGCAAAAGTAAAATTCTGTCTCCATAAAACAACAACTCCTCATTCCCTCCTTC